TTGATTTATATTGTCTTATATAATTTGGCACTCTGTTGATTCTCAGTCTTTTAACATATGTTGTAACAATACTTGAACTTCCAAGAATAGCTATCTTCAATTAGTAGTTTAATTAAAAAATAACCTAAATTTTTGCACCTTACATTTTTAGAACTTCAAAATTGTTTAAACAGGTTGCTATTTTTCATCCTTTGTGAATAAAAAGTGTTTTACAGTCTAGTAATCTAAAGGATTCTTGGGTCTGCTTGGGAGAATAAAGCAAAAACTATAGTGTATTTGTGGGAGCATCGTCAAGTAATTATTTTTTTTAAATATAATACAAGATCTGGAGCAAAGGCTGAGCAATTAAGGGCACTGACTGCTCTTGCAGAAGAACCTTGTTCAATTTTCAGCACCTACATGGCTAAGAATTGTCCTTAACTCCAGTTTGAGGGGAATCTGAAATTCACTTCTGACCCCCACAGTATTGCAATACATGGGTGCACTCACATACATGCAAGCAATATACTCAAACCCATAAAATAATGACAAAATAAATAATTTTTTAAAAATAGAATACACATTTCTAAGGAATAAAGGCAAATACATCATTGATTTATGGGAGTTTCTCACAGTTACACACAGATTTTTTTTCTGCTTTGATTTGGAAAGCCTCACACTTGTTTTAATTTCAAAATGCTATAACTGGCTCGTTGGCTTGAGTTTGGGAGAAGTGACCCTTATTTTGTTATGGATATGTGACTTTTAACTTGGTGACTTAGATATGGTTTGCTTCTGTGTTTTCAGGGGGATGTTTCTGGACACCATCCTCCCCTCCCGTGATGATAATGGCATCCGTCCTGCAATTGGTCAGCGAACCCGGCTGAGCAAAGGAGACATTGCACAGGCAAGAAAGCTGTATAGATGTCCAGGTATTGCACCAACAACATAGAAGGTCCTTGTGCTTCACTGTGCTTCTCCACAAGCACAGCTGCAGTTACTCCACTGTGTTTGTGTCTTTTTCTATACTGACATGCGTGCTTCCAATTCAGCAACCATAGAGCGAGGGAGAACTTTAGAACCTCTATTGCTATAAATAGAAATCAAATTTCAAGCACAAGTGTAGTATATTTTATTTTCTTTAAAATAATGACAAAGACGAGATGAATGGAATGGCTCATCATTACTAAATAATTGAATGGTTTTGTAGTCAAAGTAAAAAGAATCATCTTTCAAAATCAGACCCTGATGACTGAAGAGATGCCTCAGAGGGTAAGAGTGGCTGCTTTGCAGGCATAAGGAGATGAGTGCATATCTGCAGCGTTAATGTAAAAAGTCAGGCATGTTTGCATGTTATAATTCCAGCATTGTGGAGGTCTGGGAGACAGGTGGATAGTGAGAACTCGCGGCCAGCCAGTGCAAGTGAAACCAGAGCTTTTGATTCAGTGAGAGACACTGGCTCAAGTTTGAACACAACAAAGGAAGACAGATGATATCTCCCTCTGGCCTCCGCATGGCGTGTGCAGAGGAGGAAAACCTGCAGAGTCATGTGGATACAGCACACACACATCCACACCATATACACACACACACCATCAGATTCTGAATGATCATTATTTTACGGACCATTATAAATGGCACATAAATTAAAGTTTTATTAGTCTGGATTTACAATTTATTTTTAAAAGTAAATGCTAACCATGTTGCTAGGAGTAATTAAATAAAGTTAGGAAAAATGATTAATGACAGGTTAAATTGGAACACTCTAATGGAACACCAGAGCCTTGATGGTCCAAGAAAGAAAGAAACTGTTTTTCAAATTGGAAAGGTTTAGGACACTGAATACCTCCTGTTTATCTTATCCAGATTCTGAAATGTGTCAAGGAAACATGTTTAGCTTTGCTTAACAATGCTTTCCTCAAAATGTTTGTCCAAAAATACTTTCTTTTCCCCAATACTGATTTATTGAATGCTCTTGAAAATATTGGCTTGATTATCAAACATACAGATGCTCGTATAAATCAAAAAATGTGAGTTGCCTGCTATAGTAGTTTTTTCTTCAGAAAATATTGCATATGATTAGTACATTAATCAAAAATTTTAAATTGACAGTTATTCAAAAAATACCGCATACTAGATTATTGGGGTGGGATGTTTACTATGATTTCTGATATATGTCTTAGAAGCTTTCTCTTTATGATACAGGAGAAGACTAATTTGTTTGCAAAAATTTATAGCTTTTTACTGACATTTGGCTTAGATGCTAAAATACAAGCAAGAACAGTGTATTGGTTGAATAACTGCACAAAATAGCTAAAATATTTATAAATCAGTATGGGTGATAACATTAATTTATTAATTTGAGTTCATTGTTTGAGATCATTGAAATTTAATCTGCCTGCCTTTGCCTCCTGAGTGCTGGGATTATAAGTATCTTCCACCAAGTCCTGACATCTTAATGACTCAATGTTGAAAAAAAACTATTTTTTTCTTTTTTCACAAACATATAGGTATATATCTAATATTGCCATATAGCAAACAACTCTTCTATTTAGTGCTTGGTAGGCATTATTTACTTACTTACTTCTTGATACTTAAATTGGTTTCCTAGTTGAATAGATGTCCTTTATAAATGTTTTATAATTGGGTGGCACAGGCTTGTAATCCCATCTACTCAGGAGGCTGAGGCAGAAGGATCACATGCTCAGAGCATTTAATGAAATGCCAGCTAGGGAAATTTAGAAAAGTGATAGTGGGGGGGTAGCTCAGTGGTAGGGGACTATCCTAACATGTTCAATGTCCTAGATTCAAACCCTAAGGCTGAAAAAGTATTGTTTAATGTGTATATGCAAAATACACATGTATATGTGATATTTATTATTTATTTATTTAATTTTTTATCACAAATTCCACAAGAAAGAGTTTATAAGACAATGATACCACCATAACAAGAAGCACATGGATAGGGGCTGGAAAGATGCTTGATGGTTAAAGTGCATACTGCTCTTGCAGAGGACCCACATTCAGTTCCTAAGACCCACATCAGTCGGCTCTCAAACACCTGTTACTCCAGTACCAGGGGATCTGAGATCATCTTCTGGCCTGTGTGGGCACCTCACTCACATGCACAAACCCACACTGAAAGACAAAATATATACAAAATTTAAAAGAAAAAGAACAATCTTTAAGAACACATGGGTAACTCTAGCCTTGCAGCTTCCTGTCCGTTCAACTTTCCCCCTTTCCAGAGCAGTGCACATTTCAGGCTCAAACTCTATGACAGTCTCTATAAGACGCAGACCAAACAGAGTTTGAACATAAACTGATTTTTAAATGGTTGGCATAGAAAGTAGCCAAATGTGGTCTTTTGCTTCTATTAAACAGCAATTCTTAACAAAAAGTTGAGAACAAGGTCAACTGTGTGAGCATGCAGTTTCCTGCTGTCTCTTGGTTCTCTCTTGTTCCTTGAAATTCGGAAGCTGTAATAGAGCAATGTGCTTTTCACACTGTCTTAGAAACACATGAGAGCTTTCCCATAGACCATAGTGTTGTCTTTCATGAGCAACTGGTCTTGCTATATTAATCAAAACTGTCATTTATGGCCCACTTCCATATTTTACACTATTGAAATTGCAAGAAAAAAACTACATCTTCGTATCCTCCTATTAACAACTGAAATATGAAAGAATTATAAGCTGACAATCACAGTGCCACAAGTTTACTTTTTGATTTCTAATGACATGTCTATAATTCTACATTCAAATGCACCTCAATTGTAACCTCAGTCTGAAGGGAAAAATTACTAATAAACAGCATGCAAATACCATTGCTTCCTCCTAAATAATAGAGATTTCCTTAGCATCATTAGCAGAATAAAAATAACAATGTACATATTTTTAATTTTTTCAAATTAGTATTAACTTATTTTATAGGATTTTAACCAACTATAGGATTTTATTTTAACTAATAAATTCCTTATAATCCATTATTTATATATACTCAAAATATAAATTAGATTGGTATATGGATATTCTTGTTTACTTTCTGTTTGTGTGCTAAATAAAACACTAACCAAAACCACCTTGGAGAGGGAAAAGGTTTATTTGCCTTCCACTTTCAGATTACAGCCCAGCACCAAGGCAAGTCAGAGCAGGAGCTGGAGGCAGGACCCAAAAGAGAGGCCATGCAGGAACACTGGTTACTGGCTTTACTCCCCTGGCTCGTTCTGCTTGATTTCTTATATGACCCAGATCAATCTGCCCAGAAATGGCACTGCCTACAGTGATCTGGGCCCTCCTATATCAAACAATAATCATGAAAATGTCCTCATAGATATGTCCGCAGGTCAATCCTCAATTGTGATCCCTTCTTCTCAAGTAACTGTAGTTTGTTTGAAATTGATAAAACCCTAATCAGCACAATGGAACCAAAATTATTTTTTACTTTATAAATTCATACTCACTGTGGAAAAGCTAAATGCAACAGTGCAGTTATATTTTTAGGTGCTTCTGTAAGGATGATTTTCTCATAGTTTAGATATATTTTCATCATAATTTATTGCTCATAGTTTTAGAAAAAGGCAAGAAGTCTCCTTATGAATTGTGTAATGAATGAAGATGGTTCTTTACAGCCAACTACTTTGCCTGATACAATACGTTCATCCATGGTCAAATCATAGAGTACTGGAGGGGCATGGGAAAGGAGGGCAGAATTGCTCAACATTGGGATTGGGGAAACTTCTGGACTCTGCTACCCAAAGGCAGATGGCTTTTAAGTCTTTCAAGCATGAACACTTCTTTTTAAAAACAATATTTATTTTTTATTGAATTGTGTGCATTTAATATAATATGTCTTAATTATATTTAAACTCCCTCCCCTATCGGCACCTGCCCCATAGCCTGACCACCAGATTTCATGCATTCTGTCATATATGTTAAAGACTATTGAGTCAAGTTTGTGTTTGCAGATGTCTCTTGGTGTAAATTCATCTATTGGAGACTAGTCAGTCTATTTAGTGTCATTCCCATAAAGAAGATCAACTCTCCCTCACCTAGCAGTAATCAGAGAATCTGCTGGCAGCTGTAAGACTTTTTAAAGGATACATGCTAATGCTATTTGACAGTTATTATAATCCTTCTTACCCTTTTTATGTTCTTGACAAGAATTGCCCACTTGGGGATGGAGAATGGTTCATTGAAGCACATCTTCATTTAACCAGTAATTACTGGTAAATTTACGGAGGAAGTGTTTTCAGCACGTGCAATTTTGCTCTTCATAAATGATACATTTGTTTTCTTATTTTTTCACTTTCTGAGATTTCTTTTTCTTGTATTTCTCATTTTTAGATACATTCTCCTCTACTTTGCTAAAATCTTTTGGATTATTTTTCTTTCTACAATGCTTAAGTCTTCTGTGATAGCCTCTACTCTTTGTGTTTTATCTTCATTTTTCTCTGCAATCTTACAACCATTTCACTTATAAGTACTTTGTACTTAGACCCCCTATCAATTCTAATATTTTCTCAGCAAATACTGCCTTGTTAGGAATGTTAAGTGCAGTAACTCTCTGCTACTATACCAAGTAATGAAGACAATCAGTTTATGAAGAGTAAAAATTTAACTTGCAATATTGGAAGTTCCAGGCTGGGATCATTTGGCTGTTTTGCTTCTGAGTTTGTGACCGCTCATCATAGCAAACATGTGTGACAGAGCAAATTTGCTAAACTCATAGCTGGGAAATGGAAAGGAGAAGAAGAGGAAGGGATAGGTTTCCACTGTTCTCTTCATGGGTCCATTTGTGACCTGAAGACTTTCTATGCAGCCCTACTTCTTCTGGGTTTTACCATTTTCCAATAGCATTGCTGAGGGATAAAGCCTTTACCATGTGATCCTTTGGGAAAATATTAAGACTCAAACTTTACCTAGGAGTAGTA